AAGCTCACCTGGTATGCACCCCGCAACACACTCAAGACCTCCCGGCAGCGCTTGGCGGGGTGGGAAGGAGACCCGTCTGCTTGACGCAGAGCCCCAGTCCCACGCGGGTCCCAGCTACTTCCAGCCAGAGGGGTTGGCGAGAGGGTTAAAGGAGATGAAGACCCTTTCCAAGGCTCTGTGCTTGGCATGTGCCCCGTCTTATTCCACAAACCCTCCCCAGCTAAACAGGTCAGGTAATGGGGGAGGAGGGGAGCTTTATTACTACCCCCATTTTGCAGGTGAGAAAACTGAGGTCCCAGAGGAGTGGCGCAGCTCTCACTGGAACTGGAGCCCACGATTGCCATGATTCACCTCCAGAGAGATTTTCAAGGGAACTGCCCAGAAGAGTTGAGTTTGAATCTGCCAGTGCCAATTTCTAGGGGCGACTCCAGCAAGGAACTTGAACCCTGTATCTGTTTCCCTACCTGTAAAATGGGAAGGACATCAGCTATTCCTGGCTATTTGTAAACAGTCCTTGAGAAGACCAGGCAAAATGAACACACTACGTTGCTTCCTGTTAGTTGCTATTATTCTCAACAAACCAAGTAGAGTGGCACCAGGCCTCGGGGACATAGTGAGTGAGAGCCTGTCCTGCCCCAGTGTTTGCCTACAGGCTTCCAGTCCCTCTCGGTCCCTTCCTCATCCTGCCAGCATCCAGCTCCCCTGATCTTCACCCCCCAAAACACCCAAGCCCAGTCCCCTGCCCACAAATGGGCCTAAATCAAAGAGTCAAGACAGAGGCAGTATTCAGCTGGCTGGGGAAGTGAGGGATAAAGTTCTTCAGAAAATGATGAATGGGCTGCTTCCCCACGTGCTTTTCAATGTCTAGGCTGTAAAAGGAATGGAAACTGTCCCTGCGTGAGCACAGAAATGCTGTGAGCAGAGAAGAAAGGAAGGGGGAACTAAGTTGATCACTACCCTCCCCTGTTTGCAAAGATAGTCCAGAGCAGGCTGTCAGAATCAAACTTGCTGGCCTCATGGTATGAAGTGGCATTTTTCCCAGAGGCATTTCAAAGGGATTGCATTAGATTCCTTAAAGAAATTGGTAACCAAACACTGAATTCTACTGCATTATCACACTTAGTCTTTATAACAACCCTATCAAGTAGGTACTTTAAAAAATCCCCCACACGCCTATTTTGCTGTTGAGAAACCAGATTTGGTGATTTAACCAGCTAAGGCAGCACAGCTAGTTAGTGGGGGAGCAGGAATTCAAACCCCATCTGTCTGATGCACAGTCTGAGGTTTGTAACTCATGATCTGCTAACCACCAGCCAGGCAACTTCAGGATGGTCAGTGAACCTCTCTGAGCCTGTTTTCTGGGAAATGCTACAGGTACTCAGGAACAGTATGTGCACATAACAGTCATTCAGTAAGTATCTGTCCAACGCAGCAGCTCAGACGTTTGGATTTTCAAAAGTGCATTGTTATCCCTGGCCTAACAGTTGGCTGGAGCGTCGTCCCAGACACCAAAGGGTTTTGAGTCTAATTCCCAGTCAGAGCACATACCTAGGTTGCAGGTTTCATCCCCAGCTGGGGCAAGTACAGGAGGCAACTGATCAGTGTCTCTCTCACATTGATATTTCTCTCTCCCGCCTCCTCTCTAAAAATCAATGAACATATCCTCAGGTGAGGATTTTTTTAAAGTGCATTTTTATAATAATAATAATAATACAAATCAGATACCTCCATTTTATTTCTCATAGCTCAAAAATCCAGTTAAGATTGAGGGAAACAAAAAAAGTTATCTTTTCTAAAATGTTATTTCAGCCAAGAACTGTCAAGTACGGTTCCTTGGCGTGTCTTTTCTGTGAGGTGCCATGTCCTGGGACTTTCCATGAACTCAGGAAACAAGATGGCAGAGGAGAAATTTTTCTTCTGGAGTCTTTTTACCAAATAGCTTTGTATTTGCCACTGGCTTTAAAAAGCTTCAAAGTATCATCCCCTCTAGTTTTTTATATTTTCAAAGAGTGGGTCCAAGCATGGTTTACTCCTGCACGTGCTTCACAATGTAATCATTTAAAAATGTATCAGCTCTCAAGTCATCCAGCTCAAGATCTACACACAACTCTGCCTCCCTGTGAATAAAGGGTCCTCATTCCTCACCAAGAGAACTTTCAGCTTCTTGTCTCTTGCACAAAAGCACTTCTGTTTCACCCACGACAGCCCCTACGCTTCTCCAGGTACAAGGCTACCTCACCCAGTAACCTGCAATGCTCTTTCCTTCCTCACCAATTTCCAATGCTGGTGTCCTAGTAACTTCAGATACTTCTCTACCTCTATCAGGAAGGGTCCTAAGATTCTCAATACAAGTAGTTTTACAGTTCCTTACAAAAACTCAAGATAGTCTTACCATATGACCCAGCAAATTATGTTCCTTAGAATGTATCCAAACGAGTTGGAGACTGATGTCCATACTAAAACCTGCACACAGAGGTTAACAGCAGCTTTCTTCCCAATTGCCCAAACTTGGAAACAATCAAGATGTCCTTCAGTGGGTGAATGGATAGACGGTGGTACGTTCAGGTGATGGAATGTCATTTGGCACTAAAAATAAATGAGCTATCGAACCATGGAAAGACATGGAGGGATCTTAAATGCATAGGATTATGTGAAAGAAGCCAGTCCGAAAAGGCTCCAGATTGTATGATTTCAAACATCTGACATTCTAGAAAAGGCAAAACTATGGAGACCATAAAAAGATCAGTGGTTGTCAGGGGTTGGAGGGGAAGGAAGGATAAATAAGCAGAACGAAGAGATGTTTAGGACAATGAAATTACTCATAATGGTGGATACATGGCATTATACATTTGTTCAAACCCGTAAAATGTACACCACCACGAGTGAACACTGATGTAAACTATAGACTTCGGGTAATAATGATGTGTCAATGTAAGTTGATAATTGTAAGAAATATAACCTTCTGGTAGAGGATGTTGATGGGGAAGCTATACATGTTGGGGGAGGGAGGGAACCCAGGTATATGGGAAATCTCTATCTTCCTCTCAATTTTGCTGTGAATCTAAAACTGCTCTAAAAAAATCTATTTTTTTAAAAAAAGGTAGTTTTACCTCTTTCATTTTAAAAATAATTTAAAGAAGGCCATGCAATCCTTGCAGAAGTTATTACAAAAATAAAATACCAAGTGCCTGGGAAGCATTGTCCCAAATGCCTTTAAAGGCATAGTCTCACAAATATTAATCCTTCATGTACACTTGGCTTTAGGTTAAAAGAACACATCAGATTTTACATAATCATACAGGCATGTGAGTCATATACAAATGTGTTCTTGCACATAATTATAAACCTATTAGTTTATTCTATGCAAACATATACGCTAAGCTTAATTTATCATCTTCAAAAGTCACTCGGCTCCTGCTTTGATTGCCCAAGTTTTAAATTTCCTCTTTTCCTAAACCCCTCTTTAGTCCCAATCTGCATACTATTTTTGTGTAAATCCAACGTTTCGCCTACATTTCTGGAAGATAACAGCTCCCAACAATCCCACGGGAACCCCCAACAATGATGTACTAATTTAGTTTATGAGTTTAGTTTGAGAACAATTTGATGGGTCCTCTGTATTTATATTTGTCTTCCCTTTATATTTTAAATGTCTCAGCCCATTTATCTTTTTAAATTACTGGATTATAAATTAGTTGACTGTTAAAAATCCTGAGTACAGAAATTTCTAGAGCAGATTTTCTTAGCTCAAGATCCTCCTTTGTGGATAATCATAAAATCTCATAGTATTTTGAAAATAGGTGTTTTTTTCTTTTCCAAACATAAACATGTAATACTAAACAAAACCATGTATGGCCCCGCCATTGACTGGCTATTTTACTTATTTGTATTTATTATTTTTGTACACCCCAGTGACCAGATATTATATAACAATATGTGATCATCTCAATAAATCTCATACCCATCCAACACCACGCCTAGTTATCAGAATATTGACTATATACATATTCCCTATGCTGTTCTTTACATCCCGTGACTATTCTGTAACAACCAATAGGTACTTCTTAATTCCTTCACCTGTTTTGCCCAGTCCCTCTATCCCCCTTCCCATCTGGCAACCAACGAAAAGTTCTCTGTATCTATGCGTCTGTTCTGCTTGTTCATTTTGTTTGTAGATTCAATTGTTGATAGATACGTATTTATTGCCATTTTATTGTTCATATTTTTAATCTTTTCTTCTTCTTAAATAATACTCTTAACATTTCATATAATACTGGTTTATCCCCCCACCACTGCCACCTATGAAGAGGTATTGTTCCAAGGTGAGAAGGCTGGTGCCAAGTGCACGTACCTCGTCAACCTTGCCCTCCATCTGCTAACAACCAGGTTGCTGGAGATCCCAAAGGAAGGCCTGCAGAGCCTTCGCCAGGTTCTGGTCTACATCTCTGGTGACAGAACAGTCACAAAAACACCCTTTGCACACATGTGAGTTGTTTAATTTTTTTTATTTTTTATTAAATGATACATCGAAAGTATAAAAGTTGCCTTCGTACAAACAAGTTACAGAATAATGCATATAAATACACAATGAACTACATGTGACAATTCCATTTAGCTTCTATTTTGATAATTTTACATCAGTATCTAAAATGCTAAACTCCAGCATTTTTTCTTAATCTAGTTCTTTATGATGATTGCAATTCCTGAGATAAACTTAGTGTCTCTGCTAACATCTTTGTATGTAAACCAAATCCTCTGAGAAAAATTCAGATATTTATAGTCCCACATACATTATAATTCACAATTATAATCAGATACTACAGATTTCACTTAAAAAATGGAAATGATCCCGGATGGTGTGTCTCAATGGATTGAGCATCGACCCATGAACCAGGAGGTCACATTTCCAATCAGGGCACATGCCCAGGTTGGAGGCTCAATCCCCGGTAGAGGGGTGTGCGGAAGGCAGCTGATAGTAGTTTTTCTCTCATCGATGTTTCTATCTTTCTCTCTCTCTCCCTTCCCCTCTAACTAAAAACCAATAAAAACATATTTTTAAAAAATTGAAATGACCTTACAGTATTTCTACACCTATATATGTAACTTTAGGCCACCAATAGGGATTCTTAAAATCCTTTGACTTGTATGGTTTAAGGGGATTTCTTTAATAATTTTCTGTATTCAGATAAAAATTCCTGGTTAATCTGTAAGGACTAAACACTGACTAGTACCAAATATATTTTGAAGTTTCAATAATTTCCAGAGGCCAATTTTGCCAATGAAGCCCTTATCACTTTCCCTGTGGGAGATGTTTAAGCTACATGTTGTCAGTACACAGCGCCAATGCAGTTGTCCTCTGAATATATCAGTGACTTTTGCCAGTCAAGTGCTGTCTACTGTAACAGATTTCAGTGAAATCAACCTGTAGACTCCACATTATAAAAATATCTTAATAAATATCAAAGCAGCATTTTAGAGATAGCACTAGGATAGCTCTTACTGTTTTTCTATCTGAAGAATAAAAATTGACATTTAATAAGACTTTCAGAGCCCAAATAATTAGGGGTTGGCCCTTTCATAGCTCGTCTTATAACTGCACAACTGAAGGCCACAGGGAGGTTAGACAATGCCATCTTTTAAAAGGTACTTTCTGGTTTTCTCCTAAAGCCTGTCTCTTCATGCTGATTCCACATTCTTCATGTAATCAAATAAACTCTTTGTTTTACTTACAGCAAATTAAAAGAATTAGTTCCCCCTCTAGATTTTAATTAAATCTTCCAGTAGAAGCCAAAATGATCTAAGGAAAGAAAAAGTACACTGTTACCTAGTTTAAAAGTTCAATTTTGGATAGCAATTCTGATATTTTAATCTAATTATAAATAGCTGTTTGAAAAACAGCTAATCAAAAAAATCAAACTTTATAAAAATTAGTTTTTTTCTTGACTTTAGTGCTCTTTTCTTAAAATTTTTTTCCTATACACCCACATAATTCCAGCCTGAAGGAAATGTAATTAATGTACATGATAAAGAGCAGATGATATGGCTATAAAGACCTGTATTTTTTTTTTAGAAGAATGTATAGGGTACTAACATTCATTTCTCCCTTTCATTTCTTACATCTAAGAACCTTTAAAATATATCCTAAAAACAATACATTTTCTTTCAAGTCAAATCCAATAGTCTTGGTGACAGAGTTAGCTTTTATTCACAAATATAGTAAAGTATGAAAGACTAAGTGTTTTTGCAGAAACTCAAATATCTACAAAGTACAAATATTAGTGATGCATTTTGGCAATGAGAAAATAAATAAGTGATTTAATACATACAATTTTAAGATAAAAGATGCCCCAAATGGAAATGTCATCTCTTCACATTTTGAGAAATATGAAGATCTTCAGTATTAGTATTTTTCCCCTTCTCTTTTATTAGATGGTCATCTGAAATTAACAGAAATGAGTGTCAATGCTTATCCCAAGTTAACATAAGCTGTAGGCAGACACAGCTACATATATTTCAGGAAGTTATATATTTAAACTTGTATGCATTCTTTGGATAGCTTAGGACAATGAAAAAAAAATACAACCTTTTAAACACTAGTGAAAAAAATCAGAAATGTTTTGTACTAGGAACTCTAATTATTCAAAAAAGCTTCTTAACTTTTTTAAAAAGTGAATAGAGAACCCCCTGGAGTAAACCCATGTAAGTAGCTACAAACTTCTCGTATGTTATATGTAAGGAACAGAATTCACAAGAAAGGCCAGGGTGTTTAGCATTCTGAGGGATGCTAAAGCTCTTCAATCAAAAAGAAAAACCACCTTTCTTCAAATAGCCATGTCTTCCAGCAGCACCCTCTTGTGACAAGAAGAAAACTAGCACAAGTTACATTTTCCTATGCACATCAGAAAACTATCCAAGAATTTGTAGAAAAAGTTCTTCAGCCAAAACCAAAACAATAAAGTTCCATGAGAGTTCAGAGGAGCCCAGAGCCTCTATGAGCACCCACTGTGCTCCCAATTCTGGTCAAGGGCACATGCCTGGTTGCAGGCTCAGTCCCCAGTGGGAGGCGTGCAGAAGGCAGCCAATCAATGATTCTCTCCCATCATTGATGTTTCTATCTCTCTTCCTCCCCTTCCTCTCTGAAATCAGTAAAAATATATTTTAAAAGTTAAATAAATAAATAACATAAATTAAAAACTTAATACCCAATGTAGACAAAAACACAATGCACAAACAAAATCCCTAGGAAAATGTGACACCTCCCCGCACAAATTCATCAAATACTTTTTACAACAGAAAAAATATAACCTTTTAAAAAAGATATTCTGAAATATTTTGATTAATTCGGATCACATGAGAAAATACAAATTTAGACAAGTTCTTAGAAACATGCAATTTTAGCACCAAAAACATATATTAGATATTCTAATTCTAAAGACAATTTGATTGTACACACAGTCTTATTAGTTGGTCCACAGCTGATCACTCTTAGAAATAATGTAAATACTACTACAGATCTGGATCACAGATAAGAAAACAATCTCTCTCCTTCAATTTTAGGCAACTTTATTGGACTAAACAAAATTAATACTATCTTTAGAACATACGCATTTTTGGTTTTCTAGAAAAGCATTATTAAAAAATGAAGTATGTTTTTCATGTATTTCTTCATAGACGTGTATAAAGCTGAGTTGATAATGACTTTACAGATTATAAAGGATCTGGTCTTTTATGTACAGCAACAACTACTACTTTGCCTCCAATATGACAAGTATTAATATCAACAGCACTATTTCAAAGGTAAGTATGTCTATATACATCCTCTTCATTTTTTTCAGCACTTTGAAAGCTCTGATAAAAGAAGTGCTTTCATGGTGGCATGCTTTGACTTATTTTCAAATAAAAGATAATTTAAGTTTACTGTTTTACATTTCAACTGGATGAACTTGTATAAAGATAAGGTATTGTAATCTGAAGAATTAAGTATTTTAACATCTTCATAATCTTGTCCATATTGTAAAATAAAACATGTATCCTTTAAACAGTAAGCTACAGTTGAGAAAAGAAATGGAATGCTTAAACATGTTACTGAAACATAATGCAGTATTGTGAGTGTTTTTTTTTTTTTATTAATTAATTTAAGAGAGAGAGGAAGAGAGAGCAAGAGAGAGGTGAGAAAGATTGCCCCTCCTACATGCCTGACCCGAGATCAAACCCACAACCCAGGCATGTGCCCTTCAGGTGCATGGGATGATGCTCCAACCAACTGAGCCACACTGGCCAGGGCTACATAATGCAGTTTTGGCTGACAATTCACAAGTCATTACATAAAGAGGCTAAGAAAATTTTTTGTGATCAAGAAAAATAATAAGCAAATTCACTATCCTATTGGTTCACAGTCATCCTCATTTCTGAGTCTTCCACAGAGCATTCCACAGGACAGGCACCAAAGCTTCACTGACTAGAACTTGACTCTGATGTCTCTGGCACTTTATACAGAAAGGACCCCTTCCCAGCCCACCCTACCCGCCGTGTAAGACTACCAATAGTTAATCCATGACCTTCATCTCAGGAGAAATTAGGTAAGAAATACTCTACTTCTAACTTTCTTATTAGTCATTAGTCATATTAAAGAGAATGATTATAAAAAGCTTACAAATCACAAAAGTTATTTCTCAAGAGGCTATTTTTCCTCATTGGACTGAAAATACAAATGTCATGGGTTTGCTGTTGTAACAAGTGTTAATGTGTACAATGTCCACTGGTAACAATGAAACTGAGAAACTAGTATTGTTATTTATTCTTGGTGAGCATAAACTGTTAAAGCCTTTTTGGAGGAAAATCAGACAATATTAGATTATTTTTAAGGCACATATGCTTTGAACCAGCAATTCTACTTCTAGGTATCCAGATGAGAAATACCTGTGTGAAGAAAGAAATAATGCTACACTGCAATACTGTAAAAGCAAAAAATAAAAAACAGTAAAAGTACATCAGTAAAGAGTGATTAGCCACACTATGGACTACTACAAAAAGTTAAAAATGAGGGGAAGTAGATCTACATATATTGACAAAATGCAAATTATAGAATAATATATATAGTTAACAATGCATATAGGGGTTGGCAAAAGTAGGTTTACATGTTCATATGGAAAAAGACATGCAGGTTATGATTATTGCATAGCTTTCTTAACTCAAAAGAATGTTATGATGGCACAGTGCACTTAGGAACAATCTCGTAGGTGCTTAAATTGCCAGCCTTCATCATTTACACATTCTTGTAGTCTACTTGTTATACTCAAACACACTTTGGCACAGAGTTCTTACCTACTTTTGCCCACTCCTGTATTTTAAAGTTTAACTATTTTTTAAATACTAATGTGGTAATGCATGGCTCACATTTCAAAAGGAAAATAAAAGGGTTACAAATGTGAATTTCTTTACTCCTGTCTCTAACCACGTATATCTCCTCCCAGACACAAGATATCAATTCCTTGCCTATTCCTGCAGATTTTCTATCCAGTGCCTGTTTTTCTTTGATGCTGCTATTTGGAAGTTGTGTAAAATTCTCATAATATTAACTGTTAGTAACATTGTTTTTATATACAACCGAAGGAGGGAGGTTTGGAACAGAGCAGCAGGGAAACTACAGAGCACAAAGGGCTTTTTAAAATAGTGCCTTCCCCCTTTAACCTTTATGTTATAATTAAGTGTTTAATACCCTATTCTGAAAGAGTTGCAATTTCCTGCTTCTGTTTGTCATCTTACTCAAAATTTTGTATACTTTTATCTTTCTGTTTCATGTAGAAGAAAGAATTCCTTTCATTTCTTGTCATGCAGGTCTTGTGGTGATAAACTCCCTCAGCTTTTGTTTGTCTGGAAAAGCCTTTATTTCTCTCTCATATCTAAAGGATAACAAAAATATGTTAACGTTTCACGAATTTGCGTGTCATCTTTGCACAGGAGCCATGCTACTCCTCTCTGTATTGTTCCAATTTTAGTGCATATCAGTAGTACTTGAATACACAGAAATGAGTCCTGAAGGACACCCACCAAGTTGCTAATGGAGTTAACTTCTATAGAAGGGAGGGTAATTGGGGAGTTAGGGAGAGGCAGGAGGGAAGAGATGAAAGGGCATGTTAAGTTATATTATTTGAATGTTTAGAGATTTACTCATGTGCTTGTGTTTTGTTTTGGTTTTTAAGTACCTGCTAAAAAGCAGTTCCTTATCCAATCCCTGAAAAGGGAGCTAGGAAAACCCCATGTTCTTTAAATGATGAAGTGTACAGGAATGGCAATCAGAGGTGCTGATGCTGCTAAAAATGATCAGCTACAGGCATTAAACGAGTCATTCACTCTTAGTCTTGGCTTTCTCTAATATAAATTAGTAGCTGGGAATGATTTCTTTTCCAATGTTCCATCAGCTCAGAAATCTAAAAAATATAGAAAAATAAGTCCTAGTGAAGTCAGAAATAACCTCAAAAAGGCCACCAGCTTTCACATCTTAAGCTAATATTTAACACTAGAGGCCCAGTGCACAGACTCGTGCACGGGTGGGGTCCCTCAGCCTAGCCTGTGCCCTCTCGCAATCTGGGACCCCTCAGGGGATGTTGGACTGCTGGTATGAGGGATGTAGTAGTGCGCAAAGTGGCAGGCAGCTGGGGAGGAGCCCGAGCCCTGGCCGGGTGCTGTGCTGCTCCCGCTCATCCTGGCCTCGCTGTGCCTGCCGCAGCAACCGGTAGCACTGTGCGAAGGCGGGAAAGGCTATAGCCATGAGCCCAGCATCTGGCACCCAGCGGTCAGCTGAACGGTGCTTCTGCTGTGGGAGTGCACTGACCAAAAGGGGCAGCTCCTGCATTGAGCATCTGCCCCCTGGTGGTCAGTGCATGTCATAGTGACCGGTCAAATGGTCAATTGGTTGACTGGTTGCTTTAAGTTTTATATATCCTAATATATAAAAAGCCCGGGGCCGTCACGACCTAAACAACCAGACGGATGACCGAACAGCGACTAGGGTCCTGGCTACTGCGACGGGATTGAGTCTGGGTTTCGGTCAGCGCTCAGGAGTCGGTCTGGGTCCTGGCCGGCGTGGTGGGCGTCAGTCTGGGTCCCGGCCCCCTGCGGCACAGTGGTGGGAGGGAGCTGTGGAGACGGAGCCATGCTGCCATCAGATTGGCCTTTGGGTCCCTCTCCTCCCCCACAGGCTCCGGGGAACCAGAGCCATGCTGCGATCTGGGAATCTTGGTCCCTACCCCGTGCCCCCAGGCTTTGTGGAACCAGAGCCATGATGCTATTGGACTGGCCTCTTGGTCCCTCCCCCCGCCCGCAGGCTCTGGGAAACCGGAGCCATACTGCAATCAGACTGGATCCTACCCAAGAGCTCCCTTGGTGTGTAGGCTGGGTTGAGAGACCCCCCCCCCTGAGTGCAAAAATTTTTGTGCACCGGGCCTCTAGTAGATAGATAGATAGATAGATAGATAGATAGATAGATAGATAGATAGATATAGATAATCAATATTGCTCATAGAAGTTTAGGAAAACAACAAAAGGCAATCCACATCTAAAATGTTTACTAAAAGTTTATTTCAACATTCAATATTTATATTTGTCTTGATAATCAGCTGTCTGAAACCCACCTGACCTTTATTTTTTAATTTTTTTTTAATGTTTGTATTGGTTTTAGAGAGAAGAAGGTAGAGGAAGAGAGACATAGAAACATTAATGATGAGAGAGAATTACTGATTGGCTGCTTCCTGCATGCCCCCTGCTAGGAATTGAGGGCATGTGCCCTGACCAGGCATGCGCCCTGACCAGGAATAGAACTGTGACTTCCTGATTCATGGGTCAACACTCAACCACTGAGCAGTACTGGTCAGGCCCACCTGACCTTTTTAAAAATAGAAATCAACTCTCTCTCACAGTAAGCCACAGTGCGCAGTGAGCTCTAAACCATTTAGTTCAGATTATCAAATTGAGGTCCTACTGCTGATTTAATAAAAAAACAAGCTCATTTAAAGAGTGTGCATCCTGAAAGAAATATGGGCTATTCTCCTAAGATTTTATTTGTAGATATCTACCACTGTACCACAACAAAAAGTATCCTGAAAATGCGAAGGACACATAATAAACCTGTGACTTCTCTATCTGTATTCAACATGTGTGCCTCTTTTTAGTCTTAGGTGGGAAAACACATGATGATTCTATAGAAAGCTCTTTATTCAGTATGCTAAGAACTAAGCTGCTCCAGAAAGTACAAATTTATATGAAATTCTATAGAGAAATTATACCTAAAAACTTTGTCCAGTCATCCACCCGCCTTCCCCCAAGATTCTCTTTCCAAAAAACTTTTTGGTTTTTTTTGGAGGATAAACAACATGGGTTAAAACCATATTAGATATAAGTGGAATTAAACTATGACTCAAAAGCTTGGGAAAATCTACTCCAAAGATAAAAATATATAAGAAGGCAATATCCTTGTTAACAGCTAAATGATAAATCTCAGAAAGCTCATACCCATCTGCTCTCTTCCACTAGGTTGTCTACCGGGATTTACGTTTAGAGGCTGAAGTGAAGATCCTTTCAGAAATGTATGTTGGATGCCATCCTTAGTTCCATGCAAGAAGTGAGCTAAAATCCCATATAAAAGAGGTCTATAGCAGGAAGAAAACCAAAATCAATTAAATTTGCATGAATAGGAAAAGCTTAAAACATCTATGCTTTAAAAGGTAGCCTCTGATACTACAACAGCCAAGTAATTCACTAGACTTATAAAATAAGGTTGCATGGATATTATACAAATTGTAAACTGTTCATGCTTTTTTAAATTTAAAAGTACTATTTTACTCTAAAGATGATTTTAAAACCCAGGGAAAAAATGTTAACACCTTAAATAGCATCTAAACTGAAATACAATTTCAATCAATACACAGGAGGAATTCGGCTTGTAAACTCCAAAATCCAGCATAAAATTTTTCAGTGCCTGACCAATACACAATAGGTATTCAATAAACACTTATTGCATTAATAATCCTTGCCTAGAGAAAGTCTTATGTTCCAACAGACACACTGCCTGGTTTTTTGCGATTTGATCTCAGCAAGATTTTTTTAATTGATTTCAGAGAAGGAAGAGGGAGAGAGAAATAGAAACATCAATGATGAGAGAGAATAGTTGATTGGCTGCCTCCTGCACAACCCCTACTGGGGATGGAGCCTGCAACCCAGGCATGTGTCCTGACCGGAATTGAACCCGGACCTCTTGAGTCTGTAGGCTGATGCTCATCCACTGAACCTAACTAGCTAGGGCTGTTTTTATTGATTTTTAGAGAGAGAGAGAGGTAGGGAGAGGGATAGAGAGATAGAAACATCGATGAGAGAGACGTGTAGATGTACCACAGTTTTCTAATCCATTCATCTACTGATGGGCACTTAGGCTGTTTCCAGATCTTAGCTATGGTGAATTGAGGCAGCAAGATTCTTAATGTCCCAGCCTCATGAATGTTTCCTTCTCTGTAAGTTAGGGTAAGTGTAAACCCTACCTCATAGGGTTATTATGGACCAAATGAGTCAATAAATGTCAAGTGTTTAGAGCTGTGCCTAGCACATATTAAATGATATGTAAATGTCAGCTATGTGGGAGTTGGGTAAGAGCTAATATTTAAAAAGCTACTTGAGTTTACAAAACACTTCTGCCTCTTTTCAGTTTACCCTCACCTTGTGATGTCATAATCATCATACCCAACTTATGAGAAAACCACAGCTCAAAATGAATTTTCTAGAAATCCCTCAGCTAATAAATAAACAAACTTTATACCTGAACCCCAAGTCCCATACTCTTTTCAATATGCTGCCTGGGATTTATATTCGTGCTCTTGCACAAACAGAAGCTGCCCTGCTGACAATAGAGGTACAACAAATGTTTTCCTTCATTTCCAATCTCATAATTGAAAACAAAATTTAATGGATTGAGTTTTTTTAGGTACCTATTTACTTATTAGTAGGTGTGATGGTTTAAATTATGACATTCCCAATGGACACAAGACACTGGGGGGTAGGGGA